TTTATTTGTAATTATTTAATTTAATACTTTAAAACAATATTCTTCTTAGGATTGTATTGCCAATTTGTTTCCCTTTGAGATATTTAGCATAAACCCATTTTACCCATATGGCCTCTTTTTCATTAGCCATGTCCCACAAAATTTTTATGCGATAATCTTTAATCCAATGGACTAAGTTCTTGAGCCTCAAACCCTCCTTCTTTTTAGGCTTACAAACTTCATCTTAATTAATTAGGGGAGTTTCCTTATAGTCTGGTGCAAAACTCTAAAGAAAATGTATACATAATGCTTGAATTTTATTATAACTGAAGAAGAAATAATAAATATTCTACTCCAGTCATACACTATAGCTTGAAGTATTGATTGGATCCACTTAACTCTGCCAGTATATGAGATAAGCTTTATGGACCAGACATTGATTTTGAGTATTATTTTGTCTATCAGAATATCGCAATCTTTCACCCCCAATTCTTTTTGGAGAGATGGGTACACCTAAGTATTTAAAGGGGAAAAATCAGTCGACATGTGGGTCAGTGTCACCAGTTTCTCTTGTTTATCTCCATGTATATATACCCCCAATCATCATCTCAGATTTATCATAATTAATATGCAGCCTAGTTACCTTTCTAAAATGCTCCAATGTTTTAAGTATGCAGTAAATGGAATTCTCATCAGCCTACACACCACAATCAAATCATCAGCGAATATATGATTAATAACTTTGAGGGGTTTACACATTGGATGAAAACTAAAGTCATTATTCTCAGCATAGTGTAGGAAGGTCCTATAGAGATAGTCCATAATTAGCACAAAGAGGAGGGGGGACATTAGATCTCTTTGCCTTAGACCTTTTCCCCCTTTAGAATAACCATAAATTTCACCATCAAGTTGCATAGAATATGTAACTTCAGTTACACAAACTGGGGCTAATAACTTTCCAATTATATCCCTTAAAAAATTCCTCGCAGAGCATCACATTATATACAAGGTCTTTTCCTTCTATAAAGGCTCCTTGATTAAGACTTATGATAGAATGGAGGATCTTTTTAATTCTGTTGCACAAAATGTAACACCCTAATTCGTCTAGGTCTGTTGCCCCTTTCGGACTAAAATATAAACTTGGTAATTGTAAAAATTTAAAACATTTCAAACACTTTTATTTATCACATTAATATTTTTCATAACAGAAACAGTACGTACGGAGTTTTCAATGTTGTGGAAGATTAACAAATTACAATCACAAAACATAATCAATTTATGTCCTTCAATTCAAAACCATCACATCCATCCCAACTATCTCACCTCCGTCTGCCGCCAGGATCATGTCACATCATTTTTTCTATTTACCTGCGTGTAGAAAATAAAACATACAAACACTCAACGTTGAAGCCGAGTAAGGAAATCTAATGCATCGAACATCCACATAAATTGAATCTCAATTCATAAACAAATCATTTGATATTATGCACACAATATTCAATTCAAATATTCATTATTCATGATTTTGATAATGTTTAGTTCATGTTAGATTACATGTCGTTCAATTTAGATATTCAAAATTCATTATTTCGACAATGCTCTTAAATAATTCTTAATCTATGTCCAAATGATAACAACTCTCTTAACCATTCTTAGTCTAAGGCCAGATCATAACAATGCTCTATAACTATTCTTAGTGGGGGTGTGCAAGAACCGGTCTGGACCGGAAATTAGACCTGACCCGGATCGGAATGGACCGGTCCGGACCGACCATGAGTAATCAGGTCCGGTCTCCATCTTAACTAATTTTGGATTCGGGGTTCTAGTCCGGTCCGGTCTAGAACCCAGAAATAACCAGTCTGGATTGGAAATTTTATATATATTATTATTTTTAATTTTTTATACCTATCCTATCCACTAATCCAACTATACAAGCCCAACATTTATTATCCAGTCCAATAAACAAACAAACTTGTGACCAGAGCTTACAGTCGCATCTCCTAATCGGCTCCTCCTTCTTCGCATACTCGTACAGTCAGCTAGTCGCATCTTGTCAATCAGCCTCTCCTTCACTGGAATCGTCTCTGCTTTTCGCTTGTCAATCTGCTCCTTCGCCGGAACCGTCAATCAGCCTCTCCTTCACTCATTCTCGCCGGAATCCCTGCGGATTGCTGCTGACGGTAATGAAAAAACAGGGAGAAGAGGTATAAATTCAATTTCTACTTCTATTTCTTAGCAATGGTGATTCCTAGCATGCATGACTTTATACTTAAAATTTCATATTTAATTCTAATTTCAGATTTGTTGACATATGATCTTAGATTCATGATTCATGAATGTATATTGCTTCATTTACTTTATTGATTCATGAATCTATCAATTATCTCTCCATTGTGATTGTAATGAATTTGTAGAGATATTAAATCATGGTTTTGTCAATTTTTAGTTCATGTGATTTTTTTAATTAACATAACAAATCCGGTCTATAATAGGGTAAACCCGGACCGGACCGGAAAATTCAGGTCCAGACGGTCCGATCTTCAGTCTTAAGAAATGCCTGATTCCGGTTCCGGTCCGGTTTTTGGATTGGTGCACACCCCTAATTCTTAGTGTAAGGTCAAATCAAAACAGCGCTCTTAAACTATTCTTAGTCTAAGGCCAAATCGTAATAGCCCTCTTAAACTATTCTTAGTCTAAGGACAAATCATAACAATGCTCTTAAACTAGTCTTAGTGTAAGGCTAAATCATAACAACGCTCATAAACTATGCTTAGTCTATGGCTAAATCCATATTTTCATAACCAGACTCTTAAACTATGGCTAGTTTAAGGCTATTTTATTTGAATAATCAGACTCTTAAACTGTGGTTAGTTTAAGGCAATTAATAACCAGACTCTTAATCTGTAAATAGTTTAAGGAAAGTATTCCCATACTCTTAAATCGTAGTAAGTTTAAGGCAACAACAGAACAACGAACTAATCATCGTCGGGTCGGGTAGTATTTCCAAACGAGTGATCCTCTAGTTTTGTCCATGGATCCCGTTTGTACATTTTTATCCAAGTCACCAAATATACATATTTACACAAGTCTGAGTCTAATCTGAGGTTTATTTTAGATGTCTTCTAGATATCCTACACATTATTTTCTTACTCATCAATCTATTCACTTTCAATCATGGTTCATCAATTCATAATCATCATTTAACTCAAGATAACATATTTAGTCATAATTTATTCTTAAGGTTTATTTATTCATAACAATATTTTGATATTTCGTCATAATAAGATCGTCATCATTATATGATCATAACCACACAAGGCATCCTTTTTAACTATCATAATCAATTATTATCAATAACATTTTATTATGGTATATTCATCATTAAATCATGGTTCATTCATCAAATTCAATAATAAACAATAATCATCGTAATATTTCATATCAACTAGTGGTCTAACATTGGGTGTTGACACCCTAGCTTACCATCATGCATCAAACAAGGTTCTTAAATTTTTCCAAACATCATATTTATTTCTAGAAATTATTTCCATATTGATCTTAATCGATTGGTATCAAAAATAGGATTTAATAGTTCAAAAATCAGGTTTCTGAGAAAAATTTCAGGTTCTAAACGGTACCCATTACAATACCTTGGTACCATCCGTAGCCAGCCACCACTAGAGGAGTAGTAGCCGACGGTACCACTTCTACCATTCCTACGGTAGCTGGTTACTGTTCGAATGGTACCTAGCTACCGTGTCGGCGGTAGTATGTCACCGTGCATTGTTCATTGTCTTCTTCCTCGGGTCTATTTTAAAAATATCATTTTTAGTCACCAAACTTCAATTAAACTACATAGAAATGTGTTGGAATACGTGTTTACGCCTATGTCGTACTAAAGCCATGTTCGTTTGTGACAGATTTTGATAATGCCAAACCGCCGTGAATATGAGAAGACGTTGAACAAACTCAAGGCGAAGAACATGACATATTGATCAAGTGAAAACAAGAACCAAGAACAAGGACAAAGAGTTAGAAAATGGTTGAGTCGGTCTTTATGTATGTGATCAAGACCCACATTAACTTCGCTATCTTGGCTCTCTAGGTTAAACTCATTAAAATTCTTTTCATGCATAATTAAAACTCTTTTCATAAATTTTTCATAAGCCCAAAACACTTGGCATTTGTTCGAACCAGAAACCATGACGTCGTGTGTTCGGCTTTCTAAACTGGCGTTCGGCTTTCGGTTATTGACATTGGTTTTTGGCGTCCAAACCAACCAAGTGGTTTTTAACATTTTATGTTTTTTACTTCTGGGCATATTTAAATATTTCTCCAACAAAAACATGTTAAAAACCACCTTTCGTTTTTGGTCTTCCAATAAAAACAATGTGAAACTGCATAAACTTGGTTAACCATGGTTTTTACCTTAATGACATAGATTTTAAGATATTTCATTTGGTTTCTTATTCAATTACATTAAATAAGTGTTTTAAACATTTAGTTTTTAAATTGGAGAACTTTGATTTTTGACATCAGCTTTCGGCGTTGACCTGCTAGCCATGGTTCTGGTGAACCAACCCAACAACGATGTTGGATAGGCCAACGTCACCGTTTGATGTTGCACCTAAAAACCATGATTTGGCATTAAGTCTCCCAACAGTGATGTTGGAATGTGAACATCGCTCTTACACCAAGCCTAAAACTTCGAGTAGCCTTTGAAACAACGATGTAGGAGTCCCTACATCGATGTTCAATTCAAAGCTAAAAAATGAGTTTTGGCAGAATATTTTTGAACAGCGATGTTGGCCGAGCAACATCGATACTAGGCCAAAATTTTCCTGACCGTTGGAAAATATTAAAGGTTCAAACTTTCCTTGTTTGGAAGTCAAATCCAAACTAGAGTGTGATAGTGGGGTATTTAAAAAACAAGCAGACCCGTTTTAAATTACCAAACCCGTACCCACAGGCCACAACAAAGAAGTGGAAGAACCTATAGACGCGTCTAAAACATTTCGATTTGATTTGAATCGAGTCAAATCTGGAACTGGTTCGATTCGAGGGAGAAATCACATTTCTTCGTCGCCGGAGAAAATGGGGGATTTCAATCTCGCGCTGTTGATTGTGGCCATAGTTGTGTGCGTTATCGTCTTCCTCATCAACATATATCTCCTCATCAACTACCAGCATCCAGACGATGTTAACCAGGCCTACTTTCCCAAATTCGTCGTCGTTTTCGGCCTCTCCGTTGCCGCCATCTCCATCTTCATGCTACCGGCGGATGTGGCCAACAGGCAAGCCTGCCGCCACGCAATTTACAACGGCGCCTGCAATCTAACCCTTCCGATGAAGGACCTCTGGCTTGCCATCTACATTGTCGATGCTTTGCTGGTCTTCTTCATTATTCCATTCGCTATGTTCTACTATGAAGGAGACCAGGACAAGTCCGTGAATCACATTCTCTATAAGTTTATTTTTCTCTTCAATTTGTTGAGAATTTAATATTATTACTCTCGCGATTAAATCATTTACAGGAGTCTTGGCAAGAGGATTAAGAGCGCTTTATGTTGGGTTGTAGTTACTGCAATTGTGTGCGCGCTGGTTCTTGGAATTTTATATGGTTAGTGTTTCTGTTTATATATTTGTTCAAGATTTTAGCTACTATCAAACTTGGCTGCATAATATTATTCTTTTAGGACACTGTGTTGCTCTTTTATTGTCCTGTAAGTTAAAAAAAGATCAATAGATTATATGCTCTTACCCATTTTCCAAATTGTTACTAGCTTGGAACCTCCGACTTTTAGTGAAACTTTGTAAATCGAGAATGGACGCTTCTCATATTTCCTTGATATGTGTATTAACTTCTTAATTGCAGTAATGTGGATTGCTCTTGTCTCAACACCTAAGTTTTCACCTTAATTGGTTTGTTTTAGGGCTTGCTGGAAAGGTGGACTTCACTGTAAGGCACCTTTCTTCTGGTACTACTGCCTTCCCGAACACATTTACATTATCTTCTCGTGACCCATGTACTGGAAATGCACGTCAGGTTTGACAAGAGCTTCTAATTTCAATTGTTGGTCATTTTATCAGGATCCTATAGTTTGTTATAGTCATCTAGCTGGTAGTTCATCTAGCTAGAACGTATTTCCTTTTATTTTGTACCTATTTTTTGGGTCTAGTAAGAGTAGTCATTTAGTTAGCTCATAGTAGTTTTTTCCATTTCCTTTTTTGTACCTATTCCCAGTTCTAAAATGCTACATTTTAGTGTTCTGCATATTCTGCAAGTGCTTCATCTGAAAAGACGTGGACGATGCGCACTACATTTCCTGAATATGTTGTTGCTTTGGCTACAATCGTTGGATCAGTGCTATTCATGGTATGTATATGCTTATCGTAGTTAGGAATACTACAACAACAAACCCAGTAGTTAGGATTACCAAGATAGAAGATTATTATTTTTTTGGTATTCTGCAATGGAGTGAAGTAATTTTACGTTTTCTAACACACTCTAACTTTGAAATTAAGCAAGACACAATGCCATTTTACTATCCTCAATAAAGTACATGGGGTAGAATGGAAACTGTTAAATGCTCTGCCTCATACTCCCTCCTCACAAAAAACTTCTTGCTTTCCTTTTTTGGATGTCCTAAAAAAATTTATACTTTATTTTCTATTATACAATTAAGTACATGGCTTACAAAATTTCTCTCCTCTAAATAAATTTAAATGACTCATTTTTCACGTTTCAACCCTTTTCTTAAACTCCATGAAAGTCAAGTCATGAAGTGTTATGAGGGATGGAGGAGTGTTATCATAACTCTGTGTTCTATTCATGTTCAATTGTTGAAGTCATTCCCTTTTCTGAAAATTTTAGTGTGGACTAAGTAATTTGTCATTTAAATCCAGTTTCCATTTAATGACTGGCTAAATAAATAATCAAAAAACTGAGAGTTAAGACATCATTCTTAATAAGAATACTGAAAGAGTGAATAGTGGCATACTTTCATTATTTGTGCAATGGAAGCCGCTTTATGTGTATGTATATATATATATATGTGTGTGTGTGTGTGTATGTATGTATATGTATATGTATATGTATATGTATATGTATATGTATATGTATATGTATATGTATATGTGTGTGTGTGTGTATATATATATATATATATCTGTGTGTGTGTGTGTATAAAGAAAAAGGGGTTGTCCAAGTGCAAATCTCCGACTAGCTCCCCACACAATGTAGGCGTTAGGCAAATTCCAATCCTGGACTGTCAATATATAAGGGGAGAGACTCCTACTTTAATGTTTGTGGTATATTGTAATAAAATTCCATCTCCAGATTTTTGGTGGTGTTGGTATTGCTTGCCTCCCATTGGGGCTTATATTTTCATTCATCAGGCGTCCGAAGGCAGTTATCACTCGGTCGCAGTATATCAAGGTACATTTACCTTGCCAAAATACATCAGAATCATCAACCTGTTTTGCTCAACTCATGCGGTATTTTTCTCTTTCTTTTATATAGGAAGCGACTGAATTAGCCAAAAAGGCTGGAGAAGTGAAGAAAGCAGCTCTTGCTCTGCAGCAAGAAGAAAGAAATGGTAAAAAAGGAAGAAGATGGCGGAAAAATGTGAAGGAAGTTGAGAAGGCATGTATTTTTCATAGAACAGAGGCAAAATGTTCTGTTCCTAGATGTTATATACCCCCTCTGTCCCACAATAAAGTCACTATTTTATTCCATGGAGTTTAGAACAATGTTGAAAAGTAAAGTGGGTGGTTTTTATGTGTTTAGAAAAAAGAGAAGTGTTTGGAGCCACACTTATATTTTCATAAAAGAAATGTGATAAGTGTGAAAATTAATTTGGGACAAACAAAAAGGAATGTGTGAAGTTAATTGTAGGACGGAGGGAGTATGAATTATTCCAACATGTGGATATGTGCTTGGTTTGCGCGTATAATCCGTATATTTAAAATTTAAAATATTTTCTCAAGCGCCACATCATCTAACCTTTAGGGAACAAGGGCTTATTTTGCCAATTCCTGAAAACTAAAGTTGCATTGTTTTACTATTAAAGGAGTTGCTGCTTCTGGAAGATGATATGAAGTCTCTAGAGGAAATGTACCCCCAAGGGGAAAAGGTAGCTGACTGAAGCATATTCATGCTGCTCAGTGTAATTGTATTTTTAATGTTTATCTTGTTTATATCTTTTTCGTTGGAAATAAAAGTTCTCCATACATAAGGGGGAAGCCTGATATGTTATCCTTGATTATTCAGGCAGAGGCTGCATGGGCTTTGACTGTCCTTGGATATTTGGCTAAGCTTCTTCTCGGCATTTTAGGGTATTTGGTGCTCTTGACCTTGACATACAGTTTCGCCTGATACCTATGTTTGTTTTTACATTATGTCACTTGTATGTGCATGGAATGGTTATCTTGTATCTCAACATTTTTTTGGAAATTCTATATCCAATGTGACCATTTTAGATGCATGCCTAGGGGAAGTGCAACCTTTTTCAACCAACATGCCCTAGTTTGTGCATATAATCTTATGATTGAAAATCTTAACATATTGGAACTGGAAATTTAATTTTCTTTGCTGGATGGGCATTATTTTGTTCTTTAGTCTGAGATTGATAGACAACTGGGATCTAGAAAAACGAGAGCAGTTATTTATAAGTTGTACAGGTTGGTGTTCACTCGATATAGGCCTATAGGGAAAGTTTTTTTTAGTTGTTTGGCTCAAATTTTCTTTTCATCTTCTCTAAAAGAGTACCAGGTATATTATGAGTATCACTTTTTTTTCTAAATTAAACCGTACGAAGCCCAAACTAGTAAGTAGTAATATAATTACCTGGAGCATTACATTCAGCAGTATATACTCATGCACGTGCATGCGCGCGCACACACGCATTACAAGTGAATACATGATTTATTTTATGTTATTTTTCTATTGAATAGATGATTGGTGAGACTTTGGGGAAGGGCAGGTAATCGAAGTGAGTTAAGGATTACCTTCTTTTGATCTCCATTAAATCATTAAATCTTACCAAACAATGAAATGGGAGCCATTTCTTCTTTTTCACACATTCTCCCACCACTAACCAAGCAATCCAACCTTCCCCCTCCCCCCCCCAAAAAAAAAGAAGAAAAAGAAAAAAAAGATGATAAACATTAGGATTGAGTGTTGCTGATTTCCAGTTCGATATTATAAAATTAAACATACTTATCGTTAATAAAGCTGTGTGGATGAGGCATGAGTAACTGGCTAACTAAGTAAGTTGTCTAAGTATCAAAAAATTTAAATAATTATTTACTTTTCGCTTGGGAAAAAGCAGTATAGCATAGCTTCAATTCCAAGAATTTGTGGGGTTTGAAGGAAAAATGGAATTCATATTTCTAACCAGTGCATTTCCATTTCAGGCCAACATTTTGATACACATTCCATCTTATTTTTTTAACAGATTGATTGTTTCAGTGGCTTGGATTGCTCACATTGTGATATATTTATTGGTTGATCCTCCTCTTTCACCCTTTCTGAATTTGGTTTTCATCAAGTTAGATGATGTTTGGGGTAAATGGTTCTGCATCTATATCTTTCCTTATATTACCCATGGGCTAATCATTGACTCTTATGACAACTTTTCTAATATTTTCCAGGACTTCTTGGCACTGCAGCATTTGCTTTTTTCTGCTTCTACCTTCTTCTTGCAGTGATTGCTGGGGCTATGATGGTTGGGATGAAACTAGTTTTTATCACCATTCATCCAATGAAGTAATGAATTTGATATCTTGGATATTTTTCCTAGCTCCCTTTTCCTCTCATTTTCCTGACTAATTTGCTGATATCTGCTGGATATAAAGTTTCCCTTGAACTCTATTTTCAGGTGGGGAGCTACGTTGATGAACTCCTTTCTTTTTAATGTGGGCCTTATTCTTCTTTGCTCTATCAGGTTGACTTTGTTATTCTTTAATTTGAACTTATGGGGTAACATGAAGTTTTAGCCCCTTGAGTGATACTCCCTCCGTCCCCCAAAGATTTACACCCTTCACTACTCCAAAATTCACTGGAATTTTTTTATTTGTGAGTTTTGATTGATTATCTGATGAAATAAAATATTCTTGTCACCTCTTGTTTTGTAGAACTTTTGATGTACTTTTTATATATCCTCAAGTTTTATTTTTTATTTCTATACCAATCTTTAATTAAAATGAATTGAAAAAACTTGGAGCTTTAATTCGTTTTGTGTAAAGTGTAATTCATTTAGAGACGGAAGGAGTATAATTATTGTTTGAGATTACTTTTCTGAGATGTTGGATTTTGTTCTCCATTCATTGCTAGTGGAAAATTTGTTATATTATCAACTGCTTTTTCTGTTTGCAGTGTTATTCAGTTCTGTGCCACGGCCTTTGCATACTATGCTCAAGCTACTGCAGCTCAAGAAATATTTGGTCACACGCTGCAATCTCTTCGCGGAATCAAATATCTATACAAGTCAGTGTGTGTCAGTTAAATATGATTTCCCGTGTCAGTAATTTGAATTGTATGGTAGTGAATGGATGCTCTGCTCTGTTTGCAGGTACAATGTGTTTCAAATTGGATTTGTTGTTCTTGCCGGGGTGACATTTGTGTATTACCTTGCTTTTGTAAGTCCTGAGCCCCCACCCCACCCCCACCCCCACCCCATGCCACCGACATAATTACCATTCATTCTCTGATAAATGGTTTCTAAGTCTATTTTATACTGCAATGTTTCAAGGGCTGGAGACGGAGAAAGCCCAATGGCAGGTTTCAGCTTTCCAGCTGAGGATTCAGTTGCATAATCATAGAGTGCATCTCTTCTCTTACACTGTATTTGGACTCTCCGATTTCTCCCGGCTTTTGTNTGTATTACCTTGCTTTTGTAAGTCCTGAGCCCCCACCCCACCCCCACCCCCACCCCATGCCACCGACATAATTACCATTCATTCTCTGATAAATGGTTTCTAAGTCTATTTTATACTGCAATGTTTCAAGGGCTGGAGACGGAGAAAGCCCAATGGCAGGTTTCAGCTTTCCAGCTGAGGATTCAGTTGCATAATCATAGAGTGCATCTCTTCTCTTACACTGTATTTGGACTCTCCGATTTCTCCCGGCTTTTGTCTAGTGTTCTTCAATGGAGTCCTGCTGCCTCTGCCATCTCTCACCGGTACTGCCGATCCCGACATTATTTTCCATCTTTTTTTATGACATGTATATTTCGTTTGCAAGTTGTACATTGACATGGCCATGTATTTGTCAACAGTTTGGAGTGTTATTGGTCTAGGAGTTGAGCTGCCTCTTGTGTGTAACATATATAGGTTATTGATACAAACAGACTTCTCCCAATTTTCTTGATTCTTGTATTGAATGGGTTCTCAATTTGTGTTCCAATGGTTTAATGATTAACTCTATGCATTAGTACAACTTTCAGACACTTTCATTTTCATTATGCACAGAACAAAAGAAACCGACCAAACATGCGAAAATTAACTGACAAAAACCATTCCAAACACAGGCACTTTTATTGTACGTATTAAAAACTGAGTTTACCAATCAAAGCTGAAATGGATTGAGAATTTCTGCGAGCCGCTATATTCGTCCACTTTTGACTTTTGGAACTGTTCATCTAAGCACTTTGACTCATCAAATTCTCTCAATGTATAAGCCTAAATATTGTCATGTGTGATCTTGTTTGATTTGTCTTAACATATAGATTATTAATATATAATTTCTATAATTTTTTAATATACAAATTACAAGATAAAATGGATTAAAGAAGTGTATTGGATGGTGTGCAAAAAAAAAAGTGGACAAATATAGTGGGACGGAAGGAGTATGTATTAAAAATTGAGTTTACCAATCAAAGCTGAAATGGATTGAGAATTTCTGCGTGCCACATTCTTTTCCTAATCGGCAAGCGTAAGTTTTGTTTCGAGACATTTTGAATAAATAATATGTAAGCTAAATTTTGAGGGGGTGGGATCCTCTACCAATTCCTCTATCCCACTCCTCTATCCCATAGTTGAGGCATGGCCACATGTCCACTTTTTTTTTCTCTTTTTTTTTTCTTTTTTTGTTTTGCTCCAATGCCCCCCTAATCCAACCCCCTCCCCCTCTCACTCTTATTCAATTATAAATGCAAACAAATTTTAAAAAAACAACTATAAACTTTGGTATTTTTTATAGTTATTTAATTATTATAATGAAATAATATGGAGTAGTAATAATTTCAATAAGAATAATATGAAAAATCACATAATTTTTTTTAAATCAAACAGATCTTTAAAAAAATAAAGACATAAAAAGTATTCTACTCCAAATGAAATTAGAGCCTTGTTATTTTATGTTCTACTCCCTCCGTCCCCAAATAAATTTCCGCTATCATTTTTTCTTTGTCCCCAAAAAAACTTCTCTTTTCTATTAAAAAATTACTTTTACCCCTTACTTTTCATACCCTACCTATCACATCATACCATTTTATTAATAATCTATCTATCACATGTTACTTTTATCTATCACATCAAGGGTATTTTTGAAAAGTCAACACCAAAATATCTCTCCTTTAATTTCCCAAAAAGTCAATAAGGGAAGTTTATTTGGGGAGGGAGGGAGTATTTCTTAATTAATGTTTTTCAATGTAAATATTAAATAGTATTCAAATATTAATACAAACAAATGTAAAAAATAAAATTATACTCCAAATGAAATAAAAGCTTATTTTTATATTTCTAACTATGGAATTATACAAGTAATACTTTTCAACATAAATATTATTCTTATTTCATTTATTATTATTTGAAACAAATCTTTAATTTCATTTGGACTATAAAACTGGAATATATTTTATGTGTTTTTTTTTAAATTTGTTTGCCTTTATAATTGAATAGGAGTGAGAGGGGGAGGGGTTGGATTTGGGGGCATTGGAGCAAAACAAAAAAAAGAAAAAAAAAGGAGAAAATTAAAATGGACATGTGGCGGTACATCAACTATGGGATAGGGGAGTGGGATAGAGGAATTGGTATAGAGGATCCCACCCCGGGTTGGATTTGGGGGCATTGGAGCAAAACAAAAAAAAGAAAAAAAAAGGAGAAAATTAAAATGGACATGTGGCGGTACATCAACTATGGGATAGGGGAGTGGGATAGAGGAATTGGTATAGAGGATCCCACCCCGGGTTGGATTTGGGGGCATTGGAGCAAAACAAAAAAAAGAAAAAAAAAGGAGAAAATTAAAATGGACATGTGGCGGTGCATCAACTATGGGATAGGGGAGTGGGATAGAGGAATTGGTATAGAGGATCCCACCCCAATTTTGAGACGGAAAAAGTAATCCACAAAGAGTATTTACCAAAATAAATCTTCTAACCCTTGGCGGGTGTTTTTTATAATTCATATTTATCAGTTGGTTAAAATTGCTTATAAACAGTTATAAATTTATAAGTCAGCTGATGACATGTTTTTTTTACTTTTGAGTTGACTTGTTTTTTTAAACTATCTCTCATTATTTATGAATGTTCTCAAATGACTTATGTTCCCAAGTCATTATTTATGAATATTTCCAAACTACTTATCAGTAATAAACCGATTAGTACAAACACAAAGAAACTTCCAACAATTGTGAACCAGAATCAAGGTACTTTTGTAAAAGGGAGAAACTTGGTTCATTTTGTCTTACTTTGTCATTAACTGGCGAGAGAGTATAAGAGAAAAGGTATATTCCCTGGGTGCTTCATTAAGCTTGATATTAGGAAAGCTTATGATTCTGTGAGTTGGAAGACTATTGTATAGATTATGGAGTTACTGAGGGAGTTACTGTGGGGTTCCTTCACCAATTCGAATCTTGGATTGAGTACTGCATCTCTAAACTAATATACTCTATACAAATCAATGGGGAGAGCTTTGCAGATGATCTGATCATAGTCTGTGAAGCTGAGGAAAAATCCTTTAATTGTATCAAGGATACTTTGAGGATCTTCCATAAAACCACTGGTTTGAGAATCAATCCTGCTAAGTCTCAAATTTTCTTTAGAGGTGTGGATAAGAAGAGTCAAGAATATCTTCAGAAGCTTGAGGAGTGTGACAGGTTATTGACTAGTTTAACTTTTAAAATTACCTCTTGGGCGACTAAACACTTGTCTTATATATGTTGGTAGATGTAAATTGATTAATAGTATCATGTTTTGGATTATAACTTTTTGGAGTCAGCTCTTCATCATCCCAACTAAGGTGATGAGAAAAGTTCAAAGCATTTGTAGAAATTTTCTTTGGGGCTCTACAACTATTTATTCCAAAAGACCCTTGGTCAATTGAGAGAAGGTCTGGAGTTTGGGCTCAAGAAATATAGTACTATGGAATAGGGCCCTTATTCAAAACTATTGGTGGGATGTAGCCAATGAGAAAAATAACCTTTGGGTGAAATAGATTTATGAGACATGTTAAAAGGGATATGGGAACTACAAGCTAAAGGGGATAGCTGCTACTACTGGAAGAAAATTATGCCGAATAATAAGTGGTTTGATCTGTTGCCTTTGACTAAAGACTACATAACTGAATAGGAAGAGTTGATGGGGATGAGACAAAACAGAATGGACTTCCTTCGTGTGGAAGACGATGACCTATCCTAAACACTAATTTCTTACTTGGCTCAACTGTAGAGGAGAAGAGTGAACACCAAAGAAAGGATTGGGAGGTACATGGATTTTGACAAAATTTGTGCATTATGTAAAGCAGCAGAAGAAAACAGTGATCATCTGTTTTGCAACTGTCCCATCACTAAGGCAATGCTTAGAAGGACTTCTGATCGGCAGGGCTATAAATTTGAAGGGACTAAGGTTGGACAAGTTTAATGGCACTTAGAGAAAGGAGAAGACAAAAGTGTATTAATATTTATGTAGCTTTTGTTATAGTGTTTGGAAGGCAAGGAACAAGCTTCTTCATAAGCAGGAAGGCACCCTAGAAGAGAGCATGTTTAGAGAGATTACTATCCATACAACTTCATGCTGGGAGAGGGAGAAAGAGAAGAATAGTAGTAGATAGCCTTGTTGCTCTTTTTCTAGCTTGAGTTTGGTTAGTAGCTTCGTTAAAGGCTGTACACTTTGTTGCTCTTTTTCTAGCTTGAGTTTGGTTAGTGCATTTATTTCAAAACAAAAAAGAAAAGAAACACTCCCTTAGTATGGTTATCCATAACCAATTAAGCAGTGCAAAAAGAAAATAGCTTAATGTTGATCTGAAATGTACTCTGATATTAAAAAGAAACTACTCTGATAATAGTAGGAAACGTAGGACACAAACCTAAAATCACAAAACTAAAACCGGCTTAAACTGTTCGGTTTTTCGTCATGCATTTTCCAGAACTGAAATAACAAAATCGAAAAGATGAACCCTCCTAATGAACAGGCAATCATATTTTTAAAATTACCAAAAGCTATCGGCTCACAAAGAAATACTTGTGACTTTAAAATCACGAAACGGGACAAATGAGAGTGCAACACCTAGTTACAAAGTACAAACACTTATGAAATAATAACAGAATTTACAAAACCCTCCGAAAATACAGCAAATTGATTGAGGAGTTTACAAATGGGAGTGCAATTGGAGTACATAATTACCAGGCTTCTAGAAAGGTCGTGCTACAGCACCGGAAATGAGCAAACTCTGAACCAAATGGGCAAACAACGATAAGCCATCTAATCCCACTGTGCTTGCCACTTAAATACAAAGTCAGAGACGTTTACGGTTGTCCCATTCAGAACCGAAGCGATGGTTGGGAAGACTTCAGAAAATTCAGTGGGTAATGACTTCCAATGCAGACTGGGCTCCCAATCAGCCTCCTTTAGCACCTTCAATATTTCCTTTGCCACAATCTTGCTTCCCTCTGACGTTAAATGGATTCCATCCCTGGCCGCATATAGCCAAATTTCATCAACATAGAGGAAAATTGTACACAGGTTTTGTTTAAAACAAGTCTAATAATATCATTATTTATTACACACCTTGCCTGCCAAATGCACCATAATAAAGCCTTTGTTTGGTTTGAAAAGAGGGAAAGGTGAGGAGGGAGAAGTGTTTATTAAGATGTTAAAACACAGAAGCACTCACGTAAAGCAAGTAGTCAGCCAATTGTCCTTTTGCTGAATTGCTGTCCATAAATCTATTGCCTTCACATCATCAAACTCTTTGCACAATTCCACACAAGCGTCTGAATATATTTTGCCCAACTCGTTTGATCGGCCAATGTCACTGATTGCAAGGGGAAGAAAATATGGAAACAGTATTTTATAGCAAGTATTCAAGGGAGAAAAAAAAAGTGAACGTTATTTTAGCGTTTAAAAAAAATTACCCAAAAACTTCAAGAGTTTGTGCCTCGTTGATGGGAGGGCAGGTTAGAAAGATTATCCGTGTCTTATTTGAGAGGCTCTGGTGGCGAAAATCAAAACACAGTAATTTAGGATGCTCAATTAGTAAATCTATGAGTTTGCAACGTGGCATTAGAATTTGGTGTTTTTAGTGTAATCGGCTACTTTATGAAATTGAATTTACTTAGACTGGACGAGAATTTTAATACACGTTAACGAGTTCAGAAGTGCAGAGTGCACGCTCTTATAACAATATTACAAATTCCATAGCAGGGTCCGGGGGCGACATCGCTCGGTAGCAGGGTGGTAGAGCCCTAGTCAATTCAGAAATTTTTTATATTGGACATTGTTGCGGATTTTCATAAACAGACTTTAAAATAAATAACATTCGAATGTGTAAATTATACATTTGAATGTAGGCAATATCCAGACTTCGCCCTTTGCAGAGCATCATTAAACATTGAAATTTTTTATGCAACATTCAAATGTTGAATAATGATCTAGAACACATGCAGAACATCGCGAAGCATTCAAATGTTTCAATGCAACACTCTTATGTTTGATGACAATCTGCACCCCTTGTGAGAGATCTGCTAACATTCGAATGTTGACATTCAAACATTCAAATGTTTGGCGACCAGACGTGCTGATTCGCGCGTAAACTGCTGCAAACATTCGTATGTTTTATTAAAACATTCAAATATTTGCTCGACATGTCCTTTCAGTATTTTCTCTATATCTATAGAGACCCACTGTATGTTCGATATAATTGAACATCCATACTCGTTCAAGATACTAACATCTTATCCGATTGAAGTATTTTGGTATATTCTGAAATAACTTTAATATGAAAACATGTTTCACGCGATTTGTTTATTCTATGAAGTCTTCTTCATGTTTCTTTGTATAGCGATGATATCGAACACTGCTATGGAGCATTGTTACCCCTCCCTAATTTTCCATCATAGAATACGGAATGACATATTTTGTGTTGAGGTAGGGGTAATGCCTACTATCGATAGAGTAAGAGAAACAGAATATGATGGTTTGGTCAAGTCCACCATAGAGATGCAACACTATTACACTAGTGAAAAGAGTAGAGAGGATCAAAAGGAGAGGCAGGTCACACAATACGTGCAATGAGCAGTTGAGGTTGGACTTAATGGGCTTAAACCTCTCTAGGGGCATGGCACCTTATAAAAGATCCCGAAGGTGGTGTATTAGGGCTGTAGAATATTTGCAAGGGCTGTGTGAGAGTAGGCTAGGAGTTATATGTTTTCAACTCCTCACGCTATGCGTCACAGTTTTTATCCCTCGAACCTTACTCTTTTGTGATGTATACTACGTCTGTTTGATTTAGATCGGTTAAGTAAAAAGTTCAGAAAAACCTTAGTCTCAAACACATACCTTGAGATGAGTAGCAATCTTTCTCATATTTTCAACATATTCAGGAAGTGGGACATGAGCATTTGGGCCATATAGGCCAGGTCGCATAGAATCATTGCCACCAAAATAAACAATCACCAGAGAAGGTTGTACATTTGCATTCTGAAGTGCACAGCCATTAATAAGAGAGTTGCTTTGTAATTAAAAAGTGAACATCACCTACTATGGATTTCTCCTTTTAGAATCGCCAAAAATGAAATCAGCAACAAACATATGCTCACTTTTTCCTAAATTAAACATACGCCAAAGGATTTCAGAATATTTGCAGCTTCCAATCGGTCATGAAAATACCTTTGGGAAAATTTCGTGCAAAACTTGAAGAGCATGTCGCGAGTTCCAACCTTTATATCCACGAATCACTATATCTGCCTATGAAATTCAATCAGAAGTAAGTTTTTAAATGTTAAGAAAAGTCCTAACTTAAACAGCTTCACAAAAACTTGCTAAAACCAACTAGAAGAGGGAAAATAATGTCCTAATGGACCAGTAAACCAAGTATTTATGGATTTCTTTGGCTAAAAAATATGTATATACTGGAAAGTGGGATACTGCTATGCTGCTAGCCATAGTTATTTAAGGCGAGATGCGCACCGATGCACCAAGGGGGTTTAGAGCCTCGATGCGTGATGCGCCATTAATGCGCGCGCATCACGAACATGAGGCACAAGTTATGGAGTAGTAGCATAGTAGCTCTAAGTTTAGTAAATTAGCAACAATATATATATATATATATATATATATATATATATATTATTGTGAAAGACATACGCGGAATAAACTTTCAGAAAGCAACCAAGAATAAAAGTCACACGCAGTACCATTAACATAAAAAAACTTAAAGTTCAAAGAGAGCAGAAACAAAATCATTGCGAGGAGGAAGCAAAGTCGATCGAGAGAGAAGAAGCCCTAGCGATAAAGTGGCAAAAGAAACGAAGCCGCAAAAAGAATCACAGAGATGAAGCAGAGAAGTGAAAGTTTTGGTTGTGTCAACCCTAAAAAAATATAAATAAAAAAATTTAATCCATGTTCACGATGCGCGCATTTTATCGCATCGAGTCGCATCGCTTATTGCACTGATGCGCAGGTATGCGCTCGCATAACAAACATCGCCTGCATCAACAGAAAGATTGTGCAGAGCCCTGTGCCTCACACAATGCGACTTTTCACAACTATGTTGCTAGCTACTAAATATAACTAATAGACTAAATAAAAAAGATGCATTCCTTCCCTTCCTTTTCAGTTTTTATGAAATGTTAAGCAGTAAATGCAGCAAAGTTTGAGTATATCTTGCTTCTTGATACCTCGATCCTCAATGGAATTGGATGATATTGGGTCTAATGTTGTAGTATGAACCAATCTTTTGTCAATAATTCAAGCCATAATCTACTACTCCCTCCGCCCCAGTCCAGTTTGACTTTTTCAAGTCAAATTGGATGAACTTTGAGCATCAATTAAATAAAAACCGTAATATATTTTAGCATGAAAATAATTTGATTAGACTTATCTTATTGGAAACTTTCAAAATTGTTTCATTATACTAATATGTCATACAAATTGAGAGTAATTGAAGCTCAAACTTTGCCCAGTTTGACTTGAAAAAATCAATTCCAAAACTTCACTTGCGAAATCACTCAATTATTATACACTGAAGGGCTACACGAAGTATACATATGCAGTGAAACCCTAGGAAGAAAAGATCATAGAGCACAGTAATTGAATTAACATGGAATTGAAGAGAATCAAGTCCAAAAGATTGAACAGAAGAGGAGAATTGAAAGGAAAACCGAAGGGAGGGAGGGAGGGAGGGTACCTTGCGTGCGTAGAGATCAGCGAGGATAGCACCCCATCCTTCGTTGCTGTAGCTGAACTCCACTATGGACGACCCGAATAGCACGAACTGCGGGCGGGTCGGTCCTACCATCTCTGCAAAACTGCTCTGTCTTCTTTTCTCCCCTCAATGAAATTAACAAGTTCACTACAAGAGAAGCTATATCACTACAGAGACTATTCATTCTCGCACAAACAAAACTATTCATGCACTCATTTTGAAATAATGTAGTACTCATTTTCAAACATTTATTCAATACAATTATAATATTCGTTCACAAATAACATAGTGTTCATTCTAAATTAAAATAATACTCATTCTCAAATAATTTAATGCTCATTCTCAAATAAAATAAAACTCATACCATAAATAACCTTCTCCTACGCGAACCAACTGGACTAGGTTTTCATCCCCGTGCCTCTCCTCCCATCTACGGCGGCTTTCTTCCTCGATCTACGCGACCCGACCCGCAACCTCAGCTGCTCCTTAGATCTTCCTTCTCCATCGTTTTCGCCGGATTTTCGCCACCATCGCTAGCTCCTCGTCATCTTCACTGCTCCATCGTCTTCCGTCTTCGTAGCAGCGTCTTTCGTCTCCGCCTCTCCGGTGGCCCGACCCGGCAAATAGAGGAGCGGCAATAATTCTGACAGCTTCCGTTCCATCTCATTCATTCCTCAATTAGCCGGTTGTACCGAATTTTCGGTACAACCTGCAGATGTACGATATAATTTGCGTCACTACAAGGGTTACTATCTCCTTAGCACCCAAAGGTCGATGGGTTTGGGACATTTTCAATACATGGAAAATTCTACTTGTACCGCATATTTGTACCCCATTTTGTACTCCAAGATTTATCCCTGACATTAAATGTAAGTACAAAATTGGTATTATGCCAGTGTTGCACCTACATTTTATATCAGGGTAAAGCTTTAGGGTACAAAATGGGATACAAAGTGGGGTGGGGGTATACATACATGAAGGCTCGACTCGGTACAAGGTGTTGCTGATCGTTAGAATTCAAAATATTTTTTCCTAAAATTTTTTGGTAAATACGAATTACTTCGTAAATTGAATAATTATAAATTTTGTTTTTATAATTGAATACATCTACTCATTTCATAATTAAATAATCCGTTCAAAGTTCAAACGATGTTATTTTTAACACGTCGTACATATTAGTGTAGGTTTCCTTCTAAAAAAATTATACTCCGTAGTAAAGTTAAAGATATCGAGTAAGACCTATATATTTAATAAAGTAAAAGGAAGTAAAAGCAAATATAAAGTGAGATTATGTGATTGATATTAATGTTAAAAGTAAGATAAAATAAAAATGAACATGAACCAAACAAATATAACAAAATATGACCAAATATGATATAAAAAACGAGACAAAAAAAATTAAATAGGACAAAAATAACGAGTCGAAAAGAATAGTCAAATACATTTAAATCTACAAATTTACGGAGTAAAATATTGATAGAATGAATGAGTTTATTTCTCAAATTCTTCAAAAAAAAAAGAGTCTAAAACAATATCAATGAAGAATAAATTGCTCATAGGAGAAATAATACCGAGTACTCCCTAAAAAATTACCAAAACTATGGGCTCAAATACGTAAAAGTGATAATCATGAAACGTGACAAGGGAGAGTGCGACGCCATAGTCCTAAAGCACAATCACGGAAGAAACAAGAGTGGAATACTACTTCGTGTGCAAAACCACATCTTTCTTTAAATGATTTTATTAACAAATTCGTATAGAAATAAAAAGTAAAAGTTACATATTTAGAACCTACATAAAAAAAAATTACAAAACAAGTAGTGACAAGTATATTTTATTTTGTCAAAAGGGATTGGTTACAAAAGAAGCCTCCCAAACTACAGCAGATTGGTTGAGTTTTCAAAAGGGAGTTAAATTGCAGTGCATAATTACAAGGTTTCCAGAATGAGCAATTCTGAACCATATGGGTAGTTGAGCATAAACCATCTAATCCCACTGTGTTTGCCACTTGAATACAAAGTCGGAGACGTTTGCAGTTGTCCCATCCCGAACCGAAACGATGGTTGGGAAGACTTCAGAAAATTCAGTGGGTAATGACTTCCAATGCAGACTGGGTTCCCATTCAGCCTCCTTCAGCACCTTCAGTATTTCCTTCACCACAATCTTGCTTCCCTCTGAGGTTAAATGGATTCCATCCCTGGCCTCATATAGCAAAGCTTCATTAACAAAGAGGGAAAATTGTTTATTAAGACGTTAAAACACAGAACGACTCACGTAAAGCAAGTAGTCAGCCAATCCTCCTTTTGCTGAAGTGCTGTCCATAAATCTATTGCCTTCACGTCATCAAACTCTTTGCACAAGTCCACACAAGCGTCTGAATATTTTTGGCTCAACTTGTTTGATCGGCCAATGTCACTGGCCGCAAGAAGAAGAAGAAGAAGAAAATATGGTATTTTATAGCAAGCATTCAAGGGAGTCAAGAAAAGTGAATATTAATTTAGCATTTGAAAGAAAAATCACCCAAAAACTTCAAGAATTTGTGCCTCGTTCACGGGAGGGCAGGTTAAAAAGATTATCCGTGTCTTGTTTGACAGGCTCTGGTGGCAACAACAGTAATTTACGATGAGTTACGTTTATAAAATGTAAAGAAAATCCTAACAACATTTGTCTTAATTGTGCTCCATGAGTAAATCTTTGTGTGTGCAACATGGCAGTAGAATACCAAATAAGGTATACATCATGCTTTGAGATAGGGGTAATGCCTATTATCAATAAAGTAAACGAAACAGAATACGATGGTTTGGTCAGTCCACCATACAGAAGCAACGACACTAGTGAAGAGGGTAGAGAGCTTTTTGGTTGAGAGGATCAAGAGGAGAGGCAGGCCACACAAGATGTGCAATGAGTAGTTGAGATTGGATTTAATGGTCTTAAACCTCTCTAGGGACTTAATGATCTTAAACCTCTCTAGGCGCTTGTCTTAAACCTCTCTACTTGTGAATACATGCAATGGGCTGTGTGGAGTTGAAGGATCTCATGCACTACCAATTCTCCTAAAACAAATTGGTGTTAGGAAAAGCGAATACCCTAGACTTATAGTGTATTTATTATACACAAGCGCCCATGACATTCGAGTGTGACTTGGCTCACATAGCCTCCGCCACGAGACAATAAATGCCCTCATGGCCCACAAGAGTAGCATACATTTTAATTCCTCACACTATGTGTCCTTTTGCCCTCCCTCCCACATTACTCTTAAGTGATATATATATACTAGTTTTGTTTAATTTATGGTGCAATTGGGAACAGCTTCAGCGTTAAGCGTTTGCATTTTGAAAAGACGATCTAACAACAATGTTCAGCTGTAGTATTTTTAAATCTAATCTACACCATTAAATGTTTACTTGTAGCGTTTTCAAAATTAATCTACACCATTAAAATTTTATCCAAAATGCTGACACTAATTGAAAACGCTATTCCCAAACTAGGCCCTAGTCCGAGAAACTTGCCTTGAGATGAGAAGCAATCTTTCTCATATTTTCAACATATTCAGAAAGCGGGACATGCTCGTTAAGGCCAGGTCGTTTTGAATCATTGCCACCAAAATAAACAATCACCAAAGAAGGTTGTACATCTGCATTCTGAAAGTACACAACCGTAAATAAGAGAGCTGCTTCATAAGTAAAAAGTAAAGATCAGAAGCTATGGGTTTCTCCTTTTCCGATTTCTAAAAATAAAATCAGCATTTTTTTCCTAAATTAAACACATGTCAAAGGATTTCAGGGTTATCACATACTTACAGCTTGCAATCTGTCAAGAAAATACCTTTGGAAAAATTTCATGCAAAACTTGAAGAGCATGTCGCGAGTTCCAATGGGTATATCCACGAAGCACTATGTCTGCCTATGAAATTCAATCAGAAGTAACTTTAAATATTAAGAGAAGTTCTAACAACATAAACAGCTTCACAAAAACTAGCTAAAACCAACTAGAAAAATGAAATAGAGGACTTGACATACCACTAAAACAAGCACTTTTCCAATTTGATGAAGCATGTTTATGAATTTTTGGCAAAAATAAAATGTTATCTTAAAATTAACAATAATGTTATCAAAAACATATAAAGCTTAAAATGGTTTAATCTGCAGTCACAATATCAGGTTAAATGATCTTTGCCAGCACACTACTAGTTAGTGTTAAAGTATCCTACATCGGAAGTTACCGAAAAAAGTAATTGGTATATACGCTCGTGAGTTGAACTAAGTAATTGAATGAATTCAATCTTTTAATCTGATTTAGTCCAAGTGTCTTATTCCTGAGTGCATTGATCTCATAACCTGTCTCTTTTCTAGTACTATTACTCTTTTATTTGATTTTTATACGACTATGAGATTTCGGCAAGCTTCAAGTAGTTTGCCAAACCCATTTCGCGGAGACTAGCGTAGACCATACGAAGACGGCAAACTTTCCTCGAATGAGATGTATACCCAGGAGGTAACTTCATATATACTTCCTCCCTCAGATCACCATGGAGAAAAGCATTGTTTACATCTAACTGATGAACCTCCTATTTTCTAGCAACAACAATAGATAAAAGAACACGAGCTGTGACCATTTTAGCCACCGGAGCAAAAGTATTAGTATAATCAACACTGAACTCCTAATGATTTCTCAACCCAACCAACCTTGTTTTCTCACGCTCTTTAGTGCCATCGGAACGAAACTTGGTTCTGTAAACTCATTGACAGCCCAATGCATTACGATGTGGAGGTAAATCCATAGTTGTGAAAAGCGCAACTGAGGCGCGATGCGCGCGAGGCGAAGGGCTCTGCTGTTACGTACGTAACCCTAGGCGAGATTGGAGAAGGAGGAAGAGGAGAGATGGCGCACGAGAGTTACGCCTGGGGAGGGAATAAGGTTTAGAGAGAGACTAAAGCTATTCTTGTTATTATTTTTAGAGTAAAACATCCCTATTTATAATAACAAAGAGTCCTAATCCTGTCGGTTCAATAAAGGCGTCAAGGGAAAGAACCGAAAAGAAAACCCTTGAAGGAGCTTATAACACGCTCTCCTAAAGAAAATCTACGTTACAAAAATGGGAAATAAATAAATAAATAAATAAATAAATGGATATGAATGAATTAAATATAATCCTTGAGTCGTGCCGGAGTCCTAGTTGTACGAGACGACCTTCGTGGCACAAACTCCTTGTTGCCGTCTAATTCCTGTTCTGCTTCCAACTCTTGTTCCGTAACACTGCCCACCGCTCCAAGAACGTCCTTGTCCTCAAGGACCAAACTCGGGTACCGCTGCATGAGTGTTCCAACGGGTTCCCAGGAAGCGTTACTCAAATCTCCGTCCGACCACTCGACCAACCATTGCTCCTGTGGTTCCCCCCGAACAAGTATAGTACGTGTCTTAACGGCCCGAACAGGGGTGGAAATGGGTGCCCCCTCATGGAAAGCAGTGGGTAACGGATGCACAGGCAGTGGAGAACCTCCGTCGATGAACGGCCGAAGAAGGGACACGTGGAAGGTATCATGGACGCGAGCACCCTCCGGCAGTCTCAATTTGTACGCAACAGGTCCTATGCGCTCCAAAATCTCGAAGGGCCCATAGTAACGGCGACCTAACTTGGCAGACAGCGGCTTGGACACGGAGAACTGCCTGTGGGGTTGCAAACGGAGCAAAACACGATCGCCGACAGAGAATGTGACCTCCCGGCGGTGTTTATTAGCCGCCACACACATGCGTTGCTGCATACTGATTAAATTCTGTTTGAGCATCCGAAGGAGTTCCCGTCGCTCCGTTAACAAATCGTCCACCTTCTGCACGTTGCTCGAGCCTGTAGTGTACGGCAGTAGGGGTGGTGGGTCACGGCCATACAAGGCCTTGAATGGAGACATTTTGATGCCTTCATGGTATGTACTGTTCAACGCCAGTTCTGCCCACGGTAGGAGGGATGACCATTTAGCGGGTCGTGCATGACAAAAAGCGCGGAGGTATTGTTCCAATCCCCGGTTGCGCACCTCCGTTTGCCCGTCAGTTTGGGGGTGGTATGTCGTACTACGCTTCAATGTGGTGCCACTCAAAGTGAAAAGGGATGTCCAGAAGTTGCTCATAAATACGGGGTCACGATCGGAGATGATCGATTTAGGAAGTCCATGAAGCCGTACAATCAAATCAACAAATAACGTTGCTGCTTTCGGCGCATCAAACACCGCTGGCAAGGCCCCAAAGTGACTGTATTTGGAAAGCCTATCCACAACAACCATCACAGTGGTGTATCCACGAGAGGGGGGAAGACCAACGATGAAGTCCATAGTGATATCATCCCAGACATGAACGGGTACCGGTAACGGTTGAAGCAGCCCCCCACTCTTCTGCGTTGAGGCCTTCGTGGCTTGGCAGGTCACACACGCCCGAACAAACTGTCGGACATCCTTCCGCATTCCCGGCCAGTGGAAGACTTCGGCGAGACGCCGAAACGTGCGATCAACGCCGGGGTGGCCAGCACTTGGNTAATACACCAGCCCGCCATGGATGGAGTACGGCGCTGTTAAAGTTCCTTCGGCAGCCGCGGCATGGTGTTGTTGAAGGTCTGGCATGGTGTTGTTCTCGTGCTGTAGACGATCAAGGAGGGCGGGAAGGGGCTGTGCATAGTGGAGGAATAAAGAAACTGTGTCTGCCAGCTCCTCTCGTCGCGATAAGGCGTCGGCAACCCGGTTGGCCGTACCCGGTTTGTACTCGATTTGAAACTTGAAACCCATTAGTTTGCGCACGTAGAACTGCTGGTCGGGCGTTTGAACCACTTGAAACAGAAGCTCCCGAAGGCTTTTATGATCCGTACGAATCACAAATTCTCTCCCCAAAAGGTATTGGCGCCATTTATGCACCGCTTCGACTATAGCGTAAAGTTCCTTATGATACGCCGACGATTGAGAACGCCGGATGCCCAGTTGCTTGCTAAAGTACGCGACAGGGTGACCCTGCTGCATAAGAACGACGCCGATTCCCCCATCCGACGCATCTGTCTCAATAATGAAGTCCTCGGCGAAATTGGGCAGCTGCAAAACCGGGGGCGATGTGACGGCGGCCTTTAAGCGCTCAAAAGCGGCCTGGGCCTCGGGAGTCCACCGGAAGCCACCCTTTTTAAGGAGGTCAGTAAGTGGGCTGGCAAGCATAGCATAAGACCGAACGAAGCGTCGGTAATAGCCCGTCAACCCAAGAAAGCCCCGTAACTGCTTGATGTTCTTCGGGGTCGGCCATGAAAGCATGGCGGCGAGCTTACTGGGGTCGGCTTTGAGAACGCCATTCGTGACCAGGTGACCCAAATATTCCACTGTATCCTTGCAAAACGAACACTTTCCAAGCTTGACAAAAAAGCTGTGAGTCGCCAATGTATGCAAAATAGTCTCCAAATGTGTAGCGTGTTGAGCCAAGGTAGCACTATAGATAAGAATATCATCAAAGAAGACGATCACAAAATGGCGCAGATAAGAGGCAAAAATGTGATTCATCGCGGCCTGAAATGTGGATGGCGCATTCGTTAGGCCGAATGGCATAACCAAGAATTCGTAGTGGCCGTCGTGTGTCCGAAAGGCGGTCTTGAAGATATCCGCCGTATGCATCCTAATCTGATGGTAGCCGGAGCGGAGATCTAATTTAGTGAAAACTCTGGCATGCCCCAATTCATCGAATAACTCATCCGCCGTGGGAATCGGAAATTTATCTGCAACGGTTGCCGCATTAAGTGCCCGGTAGTCCACACAAAAACGGAAAGAACCGTCCTTCTTTTTCACCAACAAAACTGGCGAGGAAAAAGGACTGCGACTATGCTGAATAATCCCCTGAGCAAGCATCTCCTGTACTTGGCGCTCAATTTCAGTCTTCTGAAAGTATGGGTAACGGTACGGCCAAACGTTAACCGTCGTAGTGTCAGAGCGGAGGTGAATCCGGTGGTCCCAGGGACGCGGTGGGGGTAAACCAGTAGGCAACTGAAAAACCCCGTCATGACGCAACAACACCTGGCGGATCGAGGGAGGAAGGTCCGATGGTAGCTGGTCCAGCACTGAAGCCGATGTAACTGCCTCTGCATGCATCAAGTATACCTCATATCCGGCCGAAACAGACCCGCTGGAGTATAAGGCCTGGAGCGTGTGAAGTGAAACTGCCCGAGGAGCCTGGTCCATTCCTTGCAAAAGCACCCTTTTGTCGCCCATGTGAAACTCCATCGTCAACGCCCCGTAATCTTGGGCGATCTTCCCAAGGCCCTGCAACCATTGGACGCCAAGAACAACGTCCGGGCCATGGATTTTAAGAACATAAAGATCCACGGGAATGGAACACCCTTGAATCAGCAACTGAACTTGTGAACACTGCTGGTCGCATGGCAAGGACTCCCCATTCCCCACGTACACCCGAAAGGAACGGACAGGTGTGATTGGTAACCGAAGGCGTTCAACCACATGAGGGTGGATGAAGTTATGTGTACTTCCCCCGTCCACCAAAACACGGACCGAATAACCGGCAATTGACCCCAACAAATTTAAAGCACGAGGATGGTTGGCGCCGGCCATAGTATGGAGGCTGGACACATCCGCGGTCACCACAGGGACATCACTGTCCAAGGCTGAAACGACTTCATCATCATCAGTACCCAATAATGCAAGGAAACGGTGTTTACAACGGTGGCCAGGAACGTACTTCTCGTCGCAATTCCAACACAGCCCTTTCGCCGAACGCTCCTCGCGCTCCGTAGGGGTTAAGCGACGAATGGGCAGTGCATGCACGGAGGGGCGTGTGACTGCCGGAGGATGTCCAGTAGACGACTCAGTTGCCGTCTTGCCCTCGCTCGGCCAGTGGTTGTCGAACCCGTGCGTCGTATGCCGCCGGCAAGAGATGAGATAGTATCCATGTAGTTTGTGGCCAGTTCCCGGGCCAAGGCGAACGTCTGACCGAGCGTGGTAGGCCCGCGCAAGGTAACCTCACGACGTAGAGGGGCCTTCAAGCCGGAGATAAAAATAGAAACCAAGGTTGCTTCGGAAACCCCACTGACCTTATTCAACCCCCGCTCGAACTCCGTCTGATATGCCAAAACTGTGGTACGCTGCTGCAATTTAGAAAGAAGACCCAAATAATCTTCATAATGGTTTGGATCAAAGCGTTCCTTGACGGCCGTCAAGAAATCGCCCCAAGACTGCAAACAATTGTTGTTATGCTGATACAAGAACCATTCCGACGCGGGACTCTCAAATAACAGCCCCACCAGGCGCAACCGCGTGTCCTCCGGGGTTTCAAAGTAATCAAAGTAAGATTGAACCCGATAGATCCACCCACCCGGATCTGTGCCATTAAACTTGGGAGCATCCAATCGCACCTTTGGCCGATGATGATCAGGGGACGTAGAACGTTCGAACGACTCATGCACGAGATGTGGTATGACCGGCCGACGGCCGGTAGGCGGAGGGGTGCCCAGTATGCCTTTGCCCGACGCGGTTTCCCAGGGTTTGGACTCCAAGAGCGAGTAAACTTGCTCCACTCGTTGAGAAACCTCCTTGTATTCCTGCCGTGTGTTCCGAATCTCAAGAGCAAGGTGTTGGATTGCGGTGACCACATCATCTGTTTCATGCAACGAGGATTGAGGATCCATAGGACGATCAGCTGCCATGCTCTGATACCATTGATACAGCACAAGGGAGAGCCACACCCTAAAAGCTAGCTGATAAGGTGGGAGAACCCTTGGCTATATAAACCCATCACCAAGTTCCCCATATAACTGGTGTGGGACAATGAAATCAGTCCGTATCATTCGACCCCCCATAAGGCCCAACGTCCTCGTTGGTCACGGCTACGTTGGTCACGGCCACGTTGGTCACGGCTGGTTTCACCAGGCCACCACTCCGTAGGCCACCACTCCGAGTTGGCTCTGATACCATTGATACAGCACAAGGGAGAGCCACACCCTAAAAGCTAGCTGATAAGGTGGGAGAACCCTTGGCTATATAAACCCATCACCAAGTTCCCCATATAACCGGTGTGGGACAATGAAATCAGTCCGTATCAAATCATCAATCTCTCACTCCGACGAAGCTTGATGATTCGAACTACCCTTCTTGGTCGGCCACCATTAGAGCTAATCTCATGGCTCACCGTCTCCTTGGTTACGTTGATGGTACAGAACCGGCGCCTCCCTCCCTCATTCTTGATGGCAAAGCCACTGCTTCGGGCAAGGAGGATCCTCCGATTATGAAGGACAATCTGGCATATGAAACTTGGATGGTTGTTGATGCCCAGATCCGTGCATGTTTATTGGCCATCGTCTCCCCCACTGTTCAAACACACATTCATGCTCTTCCCACATCTGCAGCCATATGGACTCACCTTGAACAAAGGTATAATTCTCTATCTCGCACCCATATTTTCCAGTTGAAAGAACGTCTCCACAGTCTTCAAAAAGGGAGTGATTCCATGCAAACCTATCTTGACAATGTCTTGAATATTGTTTCCTCCCTTACTCTGGCTCATGAAAATATCTCGGACCAAGACGTCATACTCTGCATACTCCGTGGACTGCCAACGGATTATAGTTCCCTGAAACAGAACATTCGAACCAATATTGGGAATGTCAATTTGAATCAAGTCTCGACCTGGCTTCTATCAGAAGAACTCAATGTCAATCTTGAGAAACAATTACAAATCACAGGTTCTGCCTCGTCATCTCCTTCGGAAATTCACAACGCCCTTTTCACAAATTCTAGCCGGGGTAATTTTCGCGGCCGGGGACGCGGTGGTTACCGCGGCAGGGGCAGTTCTCGAGGCGGAGGTACGTACGGCGGCAGGGGCAGCCGTCCTCCTAGTCACCAGCGGGATGATCACCATGGCAGAGGGGGGCCACGGCTTGGTTCCGTCACTTGTCAGCTCTGTGGGAAGCCGGGTCACGCGGTCTGGGATTGTTGGCACCGCTTTGATGAGTCCTACTCCGGTCCTTCCCAGGCATACTACACCACTCAGTCCACCGACATCAATTCAAACTGGCATCTGGATACAGGGGCAAATGCTCATGTGACGTCTGATTTATCTCGTCTGCAGACCTCTTCACCATATCAAGGCACCAACTCTATAACTAATGCGGGAGGTAATACTTATCCCATTAATCACACAGGCTCAGGTATTTTAACCACCTCCCATCACACTTTTCACTTACCCAATCTACTCCACTCACCTAATATTAATTCCCATCTTTCTGTCCACCAATTTACCAAAGATAATAATTGTTCTCTCCTTTTCACATCCAAGGATTTTATGATTCGGGACAACCGTACCAATCAAGTGCTATTCAAGGGCCCCTGTGAGCGTGGTTTGTACTCCATCCCAACGTCCATGTCACCCGTGGCCAACATGGTCAAAGTCACCCCTCATCAATGGCATTGTCGTCTTGGTCATCCATCTGTTCAAGTTACCAAGTCCTTATTAGCACAACTAGGATTTAAATTCCAAGAACTTGATCATTGCAATTCTTGTTCACTTGCTAAATCCCATAAGCTTCCCTTTTCTGTATCTGAAACAAAAGCATCTTCCCCTTTTGATTTAGTTCACTCTGATGTATGGGGACCCACTTCTGTACCCTCATTTGGGGGTTTTCGGTTGTATATTAATTTTATTGACGATTATACCAAATTTTGCTGGCTCTATCCTCTTAAGAGTAAATCTGATGCATTTCATGCCTTTCAAAGTTTTCAAGCTATGGTCCAAACTCAGTTCTAAACTCATTTTAAAATTTTTCGAACTGATAATGGTCGTGAATATATTAATCACCGATTTGGGATATTTTTACAAAGCTTGGGGGTTCTTCATCAAAAATCATGTCCCTACACCCCTGAATAGAACGGGGTTGCTGAACGTAAACATCGTCACTTAGTTGAGACTCTCGTGACACTATTGTGCACGACATCCCTTCCCGCTAAATACTGGGTTGAAGCTTTGGCTACGGCAAATTTTCTGATTAATCGCATGCCAAAGCGGTCCCTTCAAAACCGATCCCCATATGAATCCCTCTACCATACACGCCCTGACTACTCTATACTTCGCGTCTTTGGTTGCCTCGCCTACCCATGTCTCCGTCATGAAATCACCCACAAGTTTCAACCTCGCTCCAAACGTTGCATATTCCTCGGGTATGATTCCTCTTCCAAGGGGTTTCGTTGTTATGACCTCTCCACTGGTCGTGTCTACGTGTCGCGTCATGTCGAATTCCAAGAAAACCAATTTCCCTACTCCCATGGGTCTTCCCCCAATGTGTCATCCCATACCCCTCGTGAATCTTTCTTTGGTGTCCTCCCAATCTTTCCGGATAGTTTGTCACTTGAGTCATCCCATGCTCACGGGGTCCCTACGTCGGTACAAACTACCCAACCCATTCCCCTGCCCGCTGCCTCCCCTCAC